GCTCATGGCCCCACCCGGAGGCGAGCAACGGCCCCTGGAGCTCTCCCGGGAAGCGCGCTCGAGCTGCCCCAGTGGTGGGCCTGCTTTCCACCACCTCCACCATGAGTTTAAGGGGGAGGGGGTCCTCCTCTTCCTCCTCCTCCTCCTCCTCTTCCTCCTCCTCCTCCTCCTCCTCTTCGTCCTCCTTCTCCTCCTCCTCCTCCTGCTCCTCCACCTCCTTCCCCCCTCCTCCAGGCCCATCACCCATGGGCGTGCCCGAGGGGAACCCAGCCGGGGCGGCGGGGAACTCTCCTGGGAGCCCCCCCTTTGCTATCCCCCCCTCTCGCCCAGCCCGACAGTGCTCCTCGTCGATCCCTCGAGCCCTGAGCCTCGAGCCCTCGGGCCCTCGCGCCACGTTGGCTCCAAATAGGAGGGGGAGGAGGAGGAAGAAAAGGAGGAGGAGGAGGAGGAGGAGATCATCCAGCGCTGGCTCCAAAGAGAGGAGGAAGGGGGAGGAGGAGGAGGAGGAGGAGGAGGAGGAGGTGGAGGAGGTGGAGTAGGAGGAGGAGGAGGAGGAGCAGATGAGCAGGAAGAGGAGGAGGATATCAGCCAGAGAGGAGGAGGAGGAGGAGGATGGAGGAGGAGGAGGAGCAGGAGGAGGAGCAGGAGGAGGAGCAGGAGGAGGAGGAGGAGGAGCAGGATGAGCAGGAAGAGGAGGAGGATATCAGCCAGCGTTGGCTCCAAATATGAGGAGGAGGAGGAGGAGGAGGAGGAGGAGGAGGAGGAGGAGGAGGAGATGGAGGAGGAGGAGGAGCAGGAGGAGGAGCAGGAGGAGGAGCAGGAGGAGGAGGATATCAGCCAGCGTTGCTTCTTATGATGTTTCAGCCTGCTCTAGCTTTGATCACCAGGAAGAAGTTCGAGCACCAGAACAAAGTACCGAAACTCGAGGGTGTTCACGTGCCAGGCCCTGGGAGACACTCGTCCGACACTTTTTCGACACTGTTTCGATACCCTTTCGACACTTTTCCGGGTGCTCGAAATTATTTCTGGGATGTATTCCTTAAGTACGATGGGAGCAACATTAGCTTCCAAATAGATTAGACGATTAAAATCGGATATAACCCCAGATCAATCTACCTCAAGTCAAGGAATCAGAGGAATCGAGCATGCTTGGAATTCGCAACTCAGCAAGCAAGCAAGCGCGCAGGCAAGCGCGCAAGCAAGCGAGCAGGCAGGCACGCAGAGGAGGCCCCTTCTGAGAAGTCCTCTGCGTCTCTGGTGGAGGCTCAGAGCGCTTCTCCTCGGAGGCCGGGGTGGGCTGCCGGGCCTTCTGGGAAGGCCCGCCTCGTCTCCCTCCCCCGCCGCGGTCGCCGCCAACCCTGAGCCTCCCGGATGGGGTCCGAGTCGACGGGGTCGGCGGATCGCGCCGTATCGCCGATGCATCGCCGATGCCGGTGCATCGGCGCCGTGCGGCTCCGTGTGGGGGCCGATTCCTCCACGCCGATGCATCGCCGACGCACCGCGACGCCGCCGGTGCATCGCCGATGCATGTGCGGTGCGGCGCAATCCTCCAACGCCATCCAGTTAGTTGCTTGGACCCCATCTAGGTGGCCTCTAGATGATCGCATCCTGATTTTGTTTATGCCGTGGATCCCCAGGGTCTCCACTCGAGGCCCAAGGCAACTGCATAACCATCACCTATCGGAGCTCCGCTCGAATTACTTGGGGTCGGGGCTGGGCCCCCTGGCGGCGCCTTTGGCGCCGCCCCTGGTGCGCTCCGCTCTCTATCCAAAAAGGTAGCCTGGCGAAGGACCCAACCATATGCAGTTGTGAGTGCCGTACATGTGAGTATCGTCTTCGGTGAAGCTCCCTACAGGGCCACGAAACTTTGAGACATGAGCCAACGTGGGGGGGGAACCGCATGCGAACCCTGCCACTGGGGCCTCCGGTGGAGTTCCCCGTCGAACCGCGGAACGCGTGAGAGGTGTGCCGAAATGGGGGGTAACCGCACGCGAAGCCCATGGGGCCCTCGGTGGAGCCCCCCCGTGGGGCCACGAGACATGTGAGGGCCATGCGCACATGGGGATGCCACCGCGTGCGAGCCCTGCCACCTGTGGCCCTCGGGGGAGCTCCCTATATGGGGGCACGGCCCGCCCGCGCCGGCCCTCCAGGCCCCGCCTCCCCGGCGGGCTCGAGCGCGCCTCCCCGCGCCTCGCCCTGTGGCTTGGCATCGCTCGGACGTGTGCATTTTTCCTTCGGAGAGGACCATCGAGGAGCATCCTCGACCATTTGGTGAAAAAAACACGCACGAAACCGAAAAAAGCACAGGGAGTGGACGTCCGAGCGATGGTCAGGTGGGGGCACGCAGCGTGCGAGGGGTGTGCCGAGATCGAGGCGGAGCCGCGTGCGAACCCCGTCACCAGGTCCTTCGGTGGAGGCCCCCCCTGTGGGGCTGCAGTCAACGCGCGTAATAAGGACAAACGACTTGTTCAAGGGTACCCTTGGGTCCTTGCCTGCCTCAGCCTCTGCGGCCCGTCCCTAGCTCGCAGGCCAGAATACTTCAACTTCGGCCTCCAAGGGTCTTGGGTCCTTACCACGCGTCCTTACTATACGTTTTCACTGTACGGAAAGTTCGAGGAGTGGGCCAAGATGGGGTTGGAGCCGTGTGCGAACCTTGCCACTGGGGCCTTCGGCGGAGCTCCCCGTGGGGGCACGGAACGCGTGAGGGGTATGCCGAAATCGAGGTGGAACTGCATGCGAGCCTTGCCATTGGGGCTTTCAGTGGAGCTCCTTATGAGGCCGGCCACGAAACGTGTTAGGTGTGCAAGGGATTGCAGAAGGGAGGATAGGGAGGAGGAAGGAGTGAGTTACGCGGGTCGCTGTCTCTTCAAAAACGAGGACCCAACACCACAGGACGGTCGGGAATTATTCATCGATCCTCCATGAACCGGTCCCCCAGGGCTGGCTGAGCTGTGTTTGGCTGGTTATGGGGCGTTTGGCGCACATCTTCGAACAATCTTAAATCATCCGTTGCGTAAGCATGCTGAACATCCAGTTCCGCGTGCACCTGGTGCTCCAGTTTGGTTGCGACTGTATGGAGCAAATTCTGGCGATCAACCTGGCTACCGCTTGTCCTGTTTTGTAGGGCAAAAATTGTTCGCACAGGTTGTGCAAGGCGGGTGGTGCAGCGTGGGTGGGGTGGGGTGCGGCAGCCAGAATGGTTGTACAAAGCGGTTGCGCGCGTTTGCAAGGATATTTGCGGCTGGAGGTCTTTCAAACATTCCAATCCACGATCTTTCGGCGCGTTTCCATCATTATTCTCGCGTTCGTTTTGTATGTCGAGCAATCGGAGCAGCAGGAACAGCAGCAGGATGAGCGGCATTTGCAAGGCCATGATCTTCCTTGGAGCGTTCTTGCGGCCCTCTCGGGGACCTTGGGGGCCATCTTAGCGGACATCGATCAAAGCAGGAGTTCTCTAAATTAACCCGCCCCTCCATAGGTCGGAAATTTGGAACTTGGGGTCTCTTGGGGCGCCCGTGGGTTCTCTTGTCGGGCCGGACGAAAGGCGGGGATTGGGAAAGGGGGGTTACGAAATTTGCTGCATGCAGCTGGTTTCGGCTCCACCGAGGGGCCCATTCCTCGATACATGGGCGCCTCCAGCGCCGGGAGGCGCCGGGAAAATCAGCTACGTGTCCTGATTCTCACCCCCCCCCTTTGCTATCCCCCCTTTCGCCCCGCCCGATCTTGGGGTCGCTTGGGACCCCTTATGGGCCCCTCTTGGGGCTATCTTGGAGCCGTGTTGAGGCCTCTGAAGCTCATCGGAAGCGAAAGTGCGAGAAGATTCGTAGACACATTCATTGTCTGGAAGAATTTGTCCACTCGAGGAAGGGGGGATAATTGTGATTTGAAGAGGAAATTCGATTCGGCAGGTTCATGTGGCGATGCGCGCCGGCGACGCTAGTGAAGGCGTTCAAGGTTAAACTCCGCAGGACCACAGGGGGTTCAACCTGGAACAGTCGGCTCCGCGATCGGTTCAAGGCTGAACGGTCGACGCGGCATCAAAAAGCCTTGCATGCGCTGACGCCGCACGAACCTACCGTACAGTCAGAACGATGTATCAGATCGAGGTTGGTTTGAGGAGCGTACCCTAGTGTTCTTCGTGTTCGTTGGATGCTCTTGTGCACCCGGGGGAGGGCACCCTTGGACGTGCTGTCTGTTTTGGCCGGCGGATGGTCTCGTGTTCTTGAGGGATGTTCTTCTGGCCCAGGTCCGACTCCAGACCACATCCGCCCCAACCCGAAGTCCCCACACGAGAGGTGCCTCGCATTTCAGGGCCCAAGGGAGGCGGCGCGCAGGGTAGTCGGGCCAGGCTCGCCAGGGGCAGCCCCGCAGCTGTGGGCGTCGAGATGCCGTGCGAGAGATGGTCCCGCAGGCGATGTCTCCCCCCCAATATCGGTGGCGTGCGAGGGAGGGAAGTGAGAAGGAGTAGTTAATTAGGCCTTCTCAGAAGGCGGCGGGGCTTCTCAGAAGCCCTCGCACCTTCTGAGAGGTTGTCCGTCTCTTCGGGGAAGGCTTAGAACACATCTCCGAAGGCCGAGGGATTTCCGAGCCTTCCGAGAAGGCCCGCCCCCCCGGGCTTGCCGCCGAAGAAGCCCCCGCGTCCCCGGGGCCCAGCCCGCGAGGCCGCGGATACGGATACGCGTTTCGCCCACGAGCCGGCTCTCGTCGGCCGCGGGCGACGGATGATGCCGTCGATGGAGTAAGTGCAGCGCTGGCGGCGACGGCGAGGGAGCCGTCGAGGGCGCAGGCCAACACGAAGACGCCGAGCCGCAGGCCTCGGGAGGGAGCGCCCCGCGGAGCGCGGGCTGCAGGGCGGCTCTGCGCGGCACGAGCCTCCGACCCCGCAGCCCCACGGCGCAGGCCCCCGGCCGGCGCCCCGGGCCGTGGTCCTCGCCCGGCGCCCCGCCCGACGACCGGGGCCGCGCCGCCGCGCTCGCCACGGGCCCCACGCCGAGCCCCGCGGCGAGCGGCAGCGCCGCCGCGCGCGAGGAGCCGCGCGGGCCCCCGCCGCCCGCCGCGACCCGCTGCCGGCCGGCTGCTGCCGCGGCCCGCCTGCCGCGGCCCGCCACTGCACCCGGCATCGCTCGGACGTGTGCATCTTTTCTCGGCGAGGGCCATCGAGGAGCATCCTTGATCATTTGGCGAAAAAACCACGCACCCCGAAAAAAGCACGGGGAATGGACGTCCGAGCGATGGCGAGTGCAGCCCGCCGCGGCCGGCCACGGCCGTGGCCGCCGCCGCCGCCGCCGCGGCCGCCGCCGCGGCCGCCCGCTGCGGCGCTGGCGCGCGCGCGCGGCTGCCGCGCGGCCCACTGCCACCGCGCCGCCGCGGCCGCTGCCGCAGCTGTCGGGACATTCGACGGTGCGCTGCTTCAATCTTGGGCAGCGACGGGTCGCGTCGCCCCGCCAATGTGCTCAGGCCTTTGACGGTCTGGTGTCTGTCCCTCTTGGCGGCTTGTCTGCAGCTTGGGCCCCTTGGGGCCCGCATGTCGGGCCCTGATAGGCCATCAAGCATGGCTCTGGGTCGAAAAACAGTGGAGACCCGTGCCAAGAAACACCCTGCTTGCTGCCAGAGTGCCGTGGGTTTTTGATGCTCGATGGTCTTGCTGTGGAAAGCGCGAAGTGCCCACACCAACAAAAATCCATGGACGCCCTGGGGTCACAGGGTTGGGTTTCTTGTGGAAGGCTTCTTGTGGAAGGGCCCCTACTCCATTGACCCTGGGGAAGGGGTCGGGACCTCCTGGGGCCGCGCACCGGACTGGGGCTGCGGCGCTGGCGCGGGGCCCTAATTAGCCCATCAGCCTCCTCGAACCGACACGAAAGCGATACGCGTTTCCATGGCGAAGCCTCCTCACTGGCCATCTGCTCCTCCTCCTCCTCCTCCTCCTCCGCCTCCGCCTCCTCGGCCTCCTCCTCCGCCTCCTCCTCTCCTTGTTTCCTCCCCCGCCTCCTCCTCCTCCTCCTCCTCCTCCTCCTCCTCCTTCTCCTCCCTCCGTCTCCCTCTCCCCTCTCCTCGCTGTGCCGCTCCTGCACCGATTCCGTGACACGCGCGTCTGCCTCGTGCTACACCGCTTGCCCGTGATTCTGCGATTCCGAGTCCCGGGTGTCTGCACCGAGCTGCCCAGCGGCTTCTCTGCGAGGCCGCGTGCGCTCGGCAGCCAAGGACGGAGGAGTGCGGTGGCTCGCGTGTTTTGTCCTGCCATTCCGCCCCCTCCCGTGGAACAGGAGTCGGAGTCGGAGGGGGAGGAGGGGGAGGGGGAGGGGGAGGGGGAGGAGGGAGAGTGGGAGGATGGGGAGGAGGAAGAGGAGGAGGGAGGGAGTGAGGGAGGTTGGTGGCTGTGCTCCCAGGGAGGAGGGAGGGAGCGGTTCCTGCCATTCCGTCCCCCCGCCCTTTCAAATTATTGCGCCGGAAACTAGAGTTCGCATTGTAGCCCTGGTCAGAACGCACCAAGGGAGAAGCATGGGTATCGGGGGGGAAAAGGTACCCATATCGCTACCCTTCGCCCGTTTTTGCCTTTTTGTTGCCCTCTTGGGAGGCCCTCGTCGCCACCGCTGGATTCGCGTCGAAATCCTGGTCAGAACGCACCCGAGGAGAGATCCGGGGAGTAGCGGTATCGGTACCTTTTGGTCTCCCCAGAGTATGGGCGATGGCGCTGGCGTTCGCGAGGGGTCGACTGGGCTTCTGTTGCGCCCGGGGCTTCTGGGCTTCGAACGCCCCGCCGCCCAGGTTTCTGTTGGCCTCCCAGGCCTTCGGCAGATGGACCAGTGACTGGGAAGATATGTAACTAGTGAAGACGAGTATGCACATGCACCAGTCCTGGTCAGGCCCATCCTGGGCCTTGGATGTGTGCATTTGCCCTCCTGGCTGGGCCAGGGAGGCATATGCACCGCCCCTGGGCCCAAGACGGGCCTGGCCAGGCACGGTGTGTGTGTGTGTGTGTGCATATGTTCCGTTGCCCGACGTATAAGAAAACGATCTGGGGTGACACACTGCCTTCGGGGAAGGGGTCAGGAGCTCCTGTCAGGCGGTCGCAAACGTGGATCAAGGGGGCGTGGATTAGCGACGGGTGCCGTTTCCATGGGAAATCGCGGATTTTCGCCGCCGAGCGAGGCGGCACCGGCCGCGTTTTGGGGAGGGCACCTCCCCAGATCCATGGATTTGGCGACCGCGCGCCAAATCCATGGATCGCCACTCCATGTTTGCGCGCCCCCGATCCTGTGACCCCTGGAGGACGAAGAGAGCGAAGGGGACAATCTACAGCCTCGAAAAATACATTTTCTCGTAACGCCGCCACGCACGCCCATGCCGATGCACAGCGTGTTGGGGGTGTCCACACCCGTGCCGTGTGCCGTTCTGTAGCGCAGTCGTGTTACATGTGGACCACGATGGTTATATTCATGACACCGTGACATTGCGTCGGTTTGCACACGCCCACCGCGACCTTTACCCATTCAGTGCCGAAGCAGACGTGACACATCGCATCGTGTGTTGCGACCGCACGGCGCCCATCTCGGATGCTACTCAACCGTGCATACTTTCGCGGATTTCTCGCGTCGCCCGGGCCAAACCAGGTAGTTTGTGAGGCTGCCTGAAGCGAAACGGTGCGCAAACCACGCCAACAAGGAACAATTTGTAAAGACAGCGCTGGCGAAACCCAGGCCAGAGCGGGGCTGCGCCAGGCAAGTTTTGAGGACGTCTCAGGCGAAACCGGGCCCAAGGAAGGCCAAACCAAACTGGTAAAACCAGGCAGATTCCAAGAACGTCTCAAGCATAATCGCCCAAACCAATGAAAATCGTGGATCATCCCCACGCGGAAACCAATCTAGAATTTCATTTGGGGGGGAGGGGTGTTTGGACCGCGCGCCCGCTGATGCTGCCCGGGTCGGTTGCGGAAGTCTCTTCAGTTGTTCTTCGGATGTTGTTGTGGCTTTGGGGTGGCGTTGGCGTGAATTTCTGAAGGTCTTTAGTTTTGCCTCCCCCACCCCACCGCCCTTGTCTCCCTCGGCGGGGAACAACACCGCCCTCCGCCGTCGGAGGCGAGGATGATAGCTTCATCTTGGATTCAAATCTGAGACAACCCGCTCGCTTTTCGCCTTGCCCCTGTCGAGCCGCTCGTCTTCGAGTGCGTAGGCCAGGCTCCTGCTGCTGATGTTCCTCCTCCTCCTCCTCTTCCTCCTCCTCCTCCTCCTCCTCGGTTTCCTCCTCACCCCCCTCCTCCTCTTCATCCTCCTCTTCCTCCTCTTCCTTCTCCTCCTCCTATTACTCCCCCCTCCTCCTCCCTCTCCTTCTCCTGCTCCGCTTCCTCGTCCTCCTCCTGTTCTTCATCATTGTCGTCGTCGTCGCCGTCATCGTCGTCGTTGCCGCGGCGGAGATTATTTTCCGTCTACTGTTTGGCGGGCTGCATAATGTCCCATGCCGATTCCACTTCGTTTTTGGGAGTGTCCACACCCATGTCGTCCGCACTTTCGCAGCGCAGTCGTGCTTCATGTGGACCACGGTGGGTATTTATGACTCCGTGTTATTACTTCGCTTGATACGCGCCCATTACGACGTCTGTAGATTTCTCATTCAGTGCCGAAGAACGCGTGATACATCTCCCTGTGTGTTGAGGCCGTATGGATCCCAGAAGGGATGTCACCCGACCGTGCATGAAGTCGAACTTCTCGCTTCGCCAGACTGGGCCAGTGAGGTTGTCTCAAGCGAAACTATGCCCCAACCGCGCGAAGCCAGCATTTCGAGGACGGCGCTGGCGAAACCGGGCCCAATCCAGGCCCACCAGGGCCAAACCTGGCAAATCTTGAGGCCGTTTCAAGCGAAACCGCCCCCGAACCAGGCCACACCAGAGGGCCTAACCAGGCAGACTCTGAGATTGTCTCAGGCGGGGCGCGCGGCCAAGCCAGGCCAAACCAGGGGCAAGACCGGGGAACATTCAGAGGACGTCCCAAGCAGAGTCGCCCAAACCAGGCTCCATCCGTTCTCCTTCGTGAAGGTGTAATTCAAGGAGGGGATCATCCAATGGCCCATCCCACAGGTGGAAACACGTTTACACTTCGATGGGGGGTCGTTTGGACCGCGCGCCCGCTGATGCGGCTGGGCTCGGGCGCGGCAACCTGCAGTTGTCATTCGGATGTTGTTTGGGACCCCGGCGTGGCGTTCTGGCGCCGCTCAGGTGTGGCCTCAACGCCTCTTTGTATGCACACACGCCCATATGCGCAACCTCGGCCATTGGGCACTACAAGTTGTTTGTTTCCAGTTGATTTTTACTTTTGAACTCATCCTACGTCCACGCCATGGTTCTATCCAAGAGGCTCGCACCATTCCGCCGACCCCCAGAAGAGCTCGGCATCGCTCGGACGGGTGCATTTCTCCTTCGGCGAGGATCATCGAGGAGCATCCTTGACCATTTGACGAAAAAACCACGCACGACACCGAAAAATACACAGGGAATGGACGTCCGAGCGATGGCGAGAGAGGGCAGGTGCGGCTCCCGGTGTCGTGTGCAGGTGTGTGCGTGTGTTGGTTGCCACTCCCCGTCTTGCTGACTGCGTCCAGGTGAGCGTCGAAAGACAACGGGGCCGTTTGCGCCGTCATCCGTGCGCAAGCTCTCCGCGTAAGGTCGCGCGCAGGCGCGCTTGCTTCCAATGTAGCATTCCGCGCAGGCGGCCCGCGCAAGCCACCGCGTAACTAAGGTCGCTATGTCATCTCGCGCAAGACCCGTTTTTGATCGTCGCTCTGGTGATCACCCTTCGTCCTCCGCGTCGTCCGTGTCTGCCGCGGCGCGTCTTTTGGGGGCCTCGTGGGGTCCCGCTGGAGGCCTTGGAGTTCGTCTTGTGTGGTGTGTGGGCGGGCTCCCGTGGTCTCTGCGGTTTCCCCCTCTTGGGCTTCCCTCGGGCTACTTCTTCTTGGGGCCTCCCGAAGGCTTTGTGTCTGCCGGCCTGGGAAGCCCTCGGGCCGTCTTGGTGGGCCTGTCTCCGGGCCCGCTGGGGGGGCCTCTTGGGGCCAGTCTGGGAGGCCTCTCGCGCCGTCCTGGGCTTGCAGACGCCCGAAGAGCGAGAACTCGAGCATCCCTCCGAAAACCAAGGCAAGATACATGAACTGTGCCGCTCGAGGCCCTCCTAGGGGTCCTCTTGGGGCCCGCGTTCGGCGTCTTCGGCAGTCTTGAGACCGTCTTGAGTGCTTTTGAAGGCCGTCTGGGCGTGTTTGTGTCCGTCTCGCGCCGTATGGGAAATCATCTTAGGGCATCTTGGAGGCGACGGAGGATGGATTAGGAGGCTCCAGGGGCCCTGGATGTGCGTTGCCTCTTCTGACGGGATGTTAGACGTTAGGGGAGTGTGAAGGCGGCAGGCGGACAGCCAGTAATCTCACACTCCTTATGCACCCCAGGCAAGCGGGGGTCGGCGAATCATCGCGTCATATAGATGGGTGTTTCGGTCTAGACACTTCGTGATGACCGTGTGAATCATTCAAGTCGTGGTGCCGGTGTCACCGTGTCCCTCGCTCCATGGCATCGGACACGACACAAATCTTTGAAGCACAGCATCGGTTATCGAGCTAAGTGCAGGGTTGCGACGAGCAGAGCAGAGCCCCTCTGCGGGTGGCGCTCCATCCGCAAGGTAGTAAGGATGGTGCTAGAGAGGCCGTGGCGCATTGTCGTCAGACCAGCCTGGCTTACCCAAGAGAGGCAGGTTCCCCCGTGGGTGTATTCCAGAGAGCGTCAAGTAGCATCCTCCATTCTTGGCGCTTCGCGTATCTCCACCAGTTGGCAGCGGTTGGCCCAGGCCGTGCCCACACCTGTGGCTAGTGGTGCACCGCTCGCCGCACGGATCCGTGCGCACTGACGTCACCCCATCGTCGCTCCCACGCTCAACCTTGTTGAGCGGTCACTTCCTGGGCTTCTTCGTGACTACGGACGGTTGCTTGTGCTGCAGCGGGTATGCGTCAGCGCAGCTTTCTCAGAGCGCTATTTCCACTCTTTCTGGTCTGCCAGGGTATCCTGGAGAGCTGCTCTTCGTTATGTCACTTAGTTGCTTCCTGGTACACGCCCTGTCATCTTCGGTTGGCCCTCGTGTCTCGCGCCGAGGTCGGGAACAGGTGTACCTTCCGCACTGCGTCACATCATGTCGTTGATCTTTCGCGTGCGAACGCATCCTTCCGCAGTTGTTTTGAGGGTCGACGTGCATCGGTTGGTCACTGACTTCAGTCGTGCCTTTACAGCCGCGTTGGTGCGTACTCTGAAGCTGCGACGGTTCGTTGGCGCCGTCAGAGTCCCTTCTTCCTGCAGGATGCCTGCGTCAGCTCTCTCGCCTACGGTCTCGCTCATACCCGGCAGACACCCTGGGCTCTCTGACGCTCTTCTTGCACGGAGTCAAGATCCCCACTGCCCTGTGGTCGTCGGACCGAACACGACCCTTGACTGGGGGTGTGCATCGCGCCATTTTGGCAGCGTAATTCCTGCTCCCTGGGTGCCAGTCTCCCCTCAGACTCCCTGGGCTGCAGCTTGCACCGCCGCCTGATCCGCGGCCCGCGCGCGCGCCCGGCAAATTTGTTACGGCCGCAGCCCGACCGTGACCTGCCTCCGCCGGCGCTTCCGCTTGCGGCTGTAAAAAAAGTATCTCCACCAGCTTTAGGCCGCTGTAAGTTAGGTCGTTGCTAGTCGGCAATCTCCTGACGGCGCGCGGCGTTTCCGCTTGCGCTCGCGAACGAAAAAAAGTATCCCCACCAGCTCCTGCAATTTGCCTTCAGCCCCCGGCGCCGCTCAGCGTCCCTCGGCGGCAGCTTTGACAGCCGTGAGTGCGCTCGCTGGGTAATTAGGTTCCGCCCGTGGCCCGGGTCGACCCTTGACGCCGCCTGCGCCTTTGTTTGCGGCTGCGACCCAAAAAGTATCCCCATTAGTACATCCAGGAACGATGCCCAGAGGGTTTGCCTAGGTCAGTGAAGTGGAGGAGGATGGGCGGAGGAGACTGACGAGGAGGCGGGAGGAGGAGGAGGAGGAGGAGGAGGAGGAGGAGGAGGAGGAGGAGACGGAGGAGGAGAATGATGATGAGGAGGAGGCTGGGCTTCGAGGGAGTTGCTTGAGGGCCGCCAGAGCCTCCCGAGCACAGTCCTGACCAATCAGCCGTAGAATTTGGCCCGCCCGCCCCCCCCAGGGCCACAATGACTCAGGTCAGTATTCGGTCCTCCTCCCAGGCATCACGTGAAGGGAGTCGGCCGACCTCCAGACATCCGACGACCTGTGTTTTTCAGTGCGCGGCCCCAGCGAGCCCGACCCCTGCCGCTGGGCCAGTCTTCTCACCTGGATCCAGGGACCGATGACGGCCTCGGAGGCCCAGATCGAGGAGGAACTTCCTGGTGGAAACAATAACCTCGTCGGACACGTGTGGGCCCGAACGCCGACAGGTGGGATTCCGGAGCCGCAGGCCAGCGAGGCGACGGCCGGCAACGCCTCCGGGGGGCCCTCGGAAGGCCTCCGAGAGTCCGCGCGCCACGCGCGCCGCGCCCCGCGCCGCCGCCTCGAGGAGCTCTGGTGGCCCGGCGGCCGCTGCTTCCAGCGGTCGTCCGCGTCGAGCGCGGCGGCGGACGAGGAGTCCTGCAGGGGCGAGCGCCCGGAGGGGCCGGGGGGGGCCTCAAGTGGGCAACGGGGGGGGGGGGCAGCTCATAGGTTCGGCCCAGAATAGTAGGGCGACCCTGCCAAATCAAGGGTACTCCGGGTGTCCTGTGCACCGCGCGTCGTGTCTTCTGCAGCCCAGGGGCAAGGTATCCTTGCGTCCTGTGGTTTTGGAGGCCATGTTCAGGGGAGCAAAAAGTGACATAAACTTGCAACTCGGAGGTCCGCGCGGATTTCTCGTATCCGCGCTGGGGCCGCCCCTGGCGCGCTCCGCGCGCCAGGGATCCGCGCGGACCTCCGAGTTTTTATGTTTATGCCACTTTTTGTTTCCCTAGTGCAGCAGTGGAGGGGGTCCGAGCAGACGGGGTCGCAGGATCGGGCCGGAGCCCGATCTCCTCCACGCCGACCTCGCCGAAGCATCGCCGACGCATCGCCGACGCGTGGCCGATGCCTCGGTCATGGCAGCGCCGACGCATCGGTGATGGCATCGGCGAAGCGGCGCGATCCTCCGATCCCCTTTTTTACTCCGACCCCATCGTGGAGGCCTCCAAGCATGCTCGCGTCGTGGCAAAAATCACGACGGGCGGGTTTCGGAAGTTCCCAACCATCCTGTGATGTCTCTTTTCGAAAAAACATTGTCCCGCGTCACGCCTCACTCCTCCTCCTCGCCCTTCCTCCTCCCATCCATGCCTCTCCCCTCCGCACCAGTCGCCCATTTCGGCACTCCTCGCACACGCGTCGTGGCCCCCATACGGAGCGCCACTGAAGGCCCCAGTGGCTGCGCTCGCATACGCCCGCCGCGCCCATTTCGGCACACCTCCCTCCTCCTCCTCCTCCTCCTCCTCCTCCTCCTCCTCCTCCTCCTTCTCCCCCTCCTCCCCCTCCTCGTCCTCCTTCTCCTATTCCTCCCCCCCTCCTCCTCCTCCTCCTCCTCCTCCTCCTCCTCCTCCTCCTCCTCCTCCTCCTCCTCCTCCTCCTCCTCGTCCTCCTCGTTCTTTCTACGTTTTCTTTCTAACCTTGGAGCCGCGCCGCTCTGCGCTGGCACGCTCTGCGCCGCGCCTGACGGGCATTGTCTCTCTAACCTTGCGGTCCTGCGTGGGCGGCGCGGCTCCCTCGCCCTTCGGGCCGCCCGGCGGAGGCCCCTCAAACGGCTGAGGGGCGGATGTCCCCTCCTCCCGACGCTGCAGATACTTCGTCGGGGCACTGAGGAAGGAACCCTTTTCGTTGGGGAGGGGCTCGGTGTTCCTTAGTTGTTTTGCAGTTCGCCTTTGGTTTGGCTTGGGGCTTCGATGGGAAATCGAAGTTGAACTTATGGGAAAAAGAGGCCTCGTTCCTTATTTAGGGTTCCTTAGGTCAACGCCCCTTCTGTACTTTGTCGACGTGTCGTCGACGTCGGAGAGGTGAAACCTTGGTGGGCTCTGGAAGCGACAGGGCCGTTTTTGTTACCGGTTCCGTTCTGCCGTTTTTTTTCTGCCGGATCCGACGCCGTTCGTTTACCGGTTCTGTCGCCGTTTTTGTTATTGGTTCCGGCCCCGGCTCCAATCCTGGAGCCGTTTGTTTGCCGTTTCCAGTTTTTTTGGGGGACACGTGTTTTGGGAAACGGTGAAAAAACGGCCCTGCCGTTTCTGGGGCCCATTCAGGGTGAAACCCACCGTCGGAAGGGGTTGCGGCTGGCTCCGTGAAAGATCCACAGGGGCCTCCGCAGCGGGAGGGTAGCATCACTTTTCCCCTCTTTGTATGTGGACGTTTTGTTATGTCTCCCCTTTATTCCTCTCTCACTCGTTCATTATTCCTCTCTCTCTCTTCCTATTATTTCTCTCTCTCTCTCTCTCGCTCTCTCGTTTTTTGTTTTTTCTCTCTCTCGCTCTCTCTGTCTTTCTCTTTCTCAGTCTCTCTCTCTCTCTCTTTCTTTCTCTCTATCTCTCTCTGTCCCTCTCTCTCTCACTCTCTCTCTCTCTCTCCTTCTGGCCCCGTGCGAGGTGCGAGCCCGTCGTCCGTGTCCACCAGCAGGAGCGCCGAAGGGGAAGAAGGGGGGTTGAGAACAGCCGGCCCACCTCGCCCATCTCACAACAGCAACAGGCCCGGTAGCGTGCGGCCTGGCAGTAAAGCGGGCCCGACTTCGCAGAGGAGGAGGAGGAGGAGGAGGGGGGGAGGAATAGGAGAAGGAGGACGAGGAGGGGGAGGAGGGGGAGGAGGAGGAGGAGGAGGAGGAGGAGGAGGAGGAGGAGGAGGATGAGGAGGAGGGGGAGGAGCCAGAAACGGAGAGTTGACGACAGGCAGCCACTCGACCAATGCAGCTCCAGGAAGCGTTTGCACCCCGCCACCCCGCCGACGACGAGGACGAGGACGAGGACCCGAGTCATGATCCAGATCCTTGCAATTTTTCGCTCTGGAAGCGCAGGCCTCTCCGGACCTCTCGGGGGCAGTTTCGAGGGCCTCGTGGGCCAGCGAGGAGCTCAGGGGGCCGTCTCGGGGCGTTCTCGAGGCTTTTCTGGGGGCCACATTGGAAACCTCCCTGGGGCTCTTTGGGGCCATCTAGGAGGCCGTCGATCAAAAGGGGGGGGGCTTAGACTAGACTGGGCCCGAAAGGTCGCCTGTCGAGGTCCTCTAGGGCCGCTCTGGGGGCGGTCGCGGGGCCGTCGCGGTGCCATCTCGGGGCCGTGTCTCGAGGCCCCCAGAACCCATCGGCGGAGAAATGGCGAGAATCAGCGCTGCAAAACATTGGTTTTGAAATCCTGGGGGCCTCCTCGGGAGGCTCTGAGAGGATTTTGGGCCGTCCTGGGGCGATTTTGCGGGTTTCTTCGATCTCGTTGGAGGCTATAATAACTGTCGGAGGTTACTGCGCGAGGAGAGGGGATGGAACCCTTCTCGCAGAATAGGAAACAACGGGGCTGGATGAAGGAAGTCCTTCGTTCTCTCGCTCCCTGAAGAGCTGGTTGGGTTCGTTTTTCGGGTTGATGTGGGCCACAGCGGGCCCTTGGGCCATCGAAGCTTGGCCCGGGGGGGGCGCCCGGGCCTCGGGGGCCGCGCGTCGAAGAAAAGGAACATGTATACATATATATATATATACTACTACTACTACTACTACTACTACTACTACTACTACTACTACTACTACTACTACTACTACTACTACTACTACTACTACTACTACTACTACTACTACTACTACTACTACTACTACTACTACTACTACTACTACTACTACTACTACTTACTACTACTACTACTACTACTACTACTACTACTACTACTACTACTACTACTACTACTACTACTACTACTACTACTACTACTACTACTACTACTACTACTACTACTACTACTACTACTACTACTACTACTACTACTACTACTACTACTACTACTACTACTACTACTACTACTACTACTACTACTACTACTACTACTACTACTACTACTACTACCACTACTACTACTATTATTACTACTGATAATAATAATCATGGCAATAATTATAACGCTAGTAGTAACAATAATAATACTACTACTAAAAATGTATATAAACAGCGCTTGCGGGTGCCCACGCGCCTGCGTTCGCGACGTGGGCCCCCGGGGAGCTGGGCCCGCTGCCCGTTGTTCGCTTTTCATCTTGGGCCAGTTGTTCAAAGGCTTCGCGGGCCCGCTGCCCGTTGTCAGAGGGCGAGCGTGTCGGATAGCTGGCCAGCGAGGCCCGGGCGGGGCCAGAGCTTGGGACTTTTTCGGGTGGGCTGTTTGCGTCTTGGAGAGGGGGGAGGGACGATGGCGCCAATCATGCGGACAGGCCCGCCCGCAGCATCAACGGTCGAGGAACGCGGGGGGGTGGGGAAGTCAGGAAGAAGAGGCGGAGGGGGGAAAACGGAGGGGGTGGGAAGGCGGCCGGCCCAGGCTGATTCAGAGCATGAAGCGAGCCCCATCGCGCCCAGGGGGATTTTTGACCCCCTTGCGTCTGCAGCCCCCTCGGCGCCCTTCGTTCCGAGAGGCGCCAATCGACCAGCTCCCGCGGGTCGGAGAAGCCGTGCGATGCAGCGACCCTGTGCGCATCGAGGGGCCGAGGGGCTGTCAGCCCAGCGCGTTCGGACTTCCAGCGACGGCGAAACGGCCGACTCGAGCCGAGGAGGCGGGGGCCAAATATAACCAGGACGCAAGCCCCTCCGAAACCCGCTCCTCTGCGCGGCCAGCCCGGGACGCGAATTATTCGGTTTTTGTTCGTTGAGCCGCGCGCGGGGCCCAGCAGTTTCTGGCGCGTTGGCGCGACGACCCGCGCAGCACAGAAAAGGCGGTTTCTCGACAGAGCCTTGTGCCTTCGTGCCTTTTAAAAAACCATCGGCTCAGCGCGCAGAGGTTGCCCCCAGGGGCGGCGCTCGACGGCGTCGCTCGACGCTGCCGCGCGGGCCTCGTTGGTTGTCGGGCCAGGATGGAGCTTATGCGGGCGGGCAACGTGAGACTGGAGCCGCGACCGCTGCTCGCAATGCCTTCCAGTCGGTGGCTTCGACCTACCCGAGTCGTAGCGTCAAGGTCGAGGTCAAAAACAACGTCGGCCGCGCCGCCGACGCCGTCGGTGTCCCGGTGGCCCACCTGGCGAAGCTACTCGCAGAGCTTCCCATCCGTGCAACAGCGTCCTCCGCCCTTCGCTCGCAGGCCTTGGTGAAGCTCTGCTTCTCTGCGGGCGCCTCCCAGAGCCGGGCCCTTTTTTGGGCCCACTCCACTCATCCGCGAGGCGATTAGCGCGAAGTTCCCATGGATCAACCAGAGACGTGGCTTCGACAGATGCGGAAGAACCCACCTTGTCCCACCTCAGATCCAGACCCATGGCCGAATCCGTGGCACAGCTCACGGAGCCGTCGCGATCATTGAGCACATCGAACGGCGCCTCGGAATTATCTTCAGACGGAGGCTCCGGGGGACACAATTTTTAAAAGATAAAAAGAAAACTAGCAAACACGTGAAGCGCGTGACCCTCCCTGTCCCGCGCCCGTTGCTCAGGGCCCCGAGCTTTCG